TCCAACTGAAGTACTTAATCTGGTGAATTTTTCTTTGACAAAAGCTTGGATACCTGCGGAATGGAAGCTGTCTAAAGTGATTCCACTTCTTAAAAAGCAGGAAAAAGGATTCGCCTTGGAAAATGTAAGGCCGATATCAATCACGTCAAATCTGGTTAAGCTAATTGAAAGAGTTTTGAATGCCCGGGTAATGAAATATATTAATAATAACGCAATATTAAACCCCAGTCAAATTGGTTTTAGATCCGGTTGCTCAATATGGTGTGCGCATGTTGATTTAGAGAGCCGAATACAACTGGCTCGGCGTCGGCGCCAATACTGTGCTTTAGTTACTTTAGATTTGGCTAAAGCGTACGATAGGGTTGAGCATTCAATTTTATTAAAACAGATGGCATATCACCACTTTCCCAACTACATCACTGCGTGGGTGTCGGAGTTTTTAAGAGGGAGAGAATATTACTGCTTTAAAGATGGGTACTCATCAAATAGATATAAGCAGACACGTGGCGTACCACAGGGGGCTGTCCTGTCGCCAGTTTTATTTAACATTTTCTTAAGCTCCATTCCATCAACTAAGGATATTCAGTTATATGTGTACGCGGACGATATTGCTTTCTTCGCAAGTAATACCGACCTTAAATCATTATACGAGAGTCTACAAAATTATCTCAATATGATAGAAAGATGGCTTAAAAATATTCATATGACCCTGAACGTAAATAAAAGTGTGCTCCTTGCATTCTCTTTTCTGCAGCCTATCAACATCTCGTTAATGTACAGTAATGAGCTCATTCCGCAGGCGAATTCCATTAAATATTTGGGGATCATATATAATGACACATTAAATTGGAGAAGTCACATTGATGATGTGTACTCCAAGGCAACACGGGCCATGGGGTGGCTACGGAAGCTTGCAAACCGTAAAGGGGGTTTAAGAAGAGATGTGCTAATAATGATATATAAACTTTATGTGCGGCCCATCATGGAATTCGGATGTGTACTATTTTCTGGCAGCGCAGCCTATAAAATGAGACCCCTAATACTGCTGGAAAGAGAAGCGTTGCGTTTGTGTCTGGGTCTACCAAAGTTTGTTGCAAATAACGTGTTGTATATGGAAGCTCGCCTACCTTCTCTGCTAAATAGGTTTAAAATTCTTACTGTGCAAGCATTCTTGAAGATATACAGTTCACAACAAAGACTCTCATTTTACGCTTTCATTCAAGAACCGACTTTATTTTTCGAAACCCATTGGTCGCGACTACACATCCCGCAAATAGTATTTGCACAAGCGCTACTAAAGCAACTGAATGTAAAAATTAGACATATTGGTCCAATAGACAACCTAAAGTCAATGCTTAGCATACAATTCGATGATATATTTCCTCATAACGCGAAACAATTGGCATATAGGTATTTAAATGACCAGTTAGCAGATTATCTAGCCCACCTAGAGATAAGCAATATCATAGCGACTGATGCATCTGTGTCAAAAGAAAAGGCTGGGGTTGGCATCTTCTCTCCTTCTTTGGACTGGTCTTTTTCGATTCGACTCCCAGATTATACCCCGGTATTCATGGCAGAATTATTGGCCATTGTTCTTGCCCTACGCAAATTACCCTCAAGCGAATCATTAGCAGTTATCATTACAGACTCGTTATCAGTTTGTAATGCACTTTCTACGGCAGTAAATTCAGAGCTGATGAATACGTTTCGGCATTTAGTACCGAATAACGTAAAAAAACTGCATTTGCTATGGGTACCAGGCCACCGCGGATTATATTTGAACGAAATGGCGGACTCTTTAGCAGCAGTATCCCTGGGTGGGCCCACCATCCCAGTTTTGCCAGATACGGCTTACGTAACCGCAATAAGGTTCCGAAATGCTTGCCTGCAATGGGGAAAAGGTAATTTGGATAAATTCAAAGATTTCGAGCATTTGAGCTATTGCTGGAATAAACAGTGGTGTGTATCTCGCCAGTTAGAGGTCACTTATACCAGATTGCGCTGTGCAGTTCCACAACTAAATTATTACCTTAATAAAGCTCAGCTCAAGGCGTCACCGCTATGCATTTGGTGCAACGAAATTGAAACAATTGAACATTTCTTTTTATTTTGTCATCGTTATTCTTATCAGAGAAAAAGATTTTTAGTAGCCCCATTACAAAAGCTAGGAATACAAGTAAATTTACCAGTAATTTTATCACTTGGCGGAACTTCGTTTGGTTACTGCCACAGGGATGTATGCTCCGTTGTGTTTGATTACATCAACACAACTAAAAGATTACCATGCTAGTGAACCACTACCTTTTCAGATCTTTAGTTTATAATTCGTAGTTATGTCTTTCAAAAACAAAAGATGGTTTGACCACTTGCTCAGCACACATTTTTGTTTTTTGGTAGTATTATTTTAAGCTACTTTTTCAGATTGGCTCCATATTCAGTTTAGTTTCATTTAAGTATCCTGCCGCCCGGTTCTTGGCCCATCCCCCTTTGTGGGTAAGCGCCATTCATCAAAGGTCATCAGCATCAGCATCAGCACTCACATTCGAAACAACGTATCTCCCATATCTCATATATCTTACAATTTCTGAAGCGGATTTTCATGTATATATATATATATATATATATAATAATGAGATATAACAGACAGTAATGCCAAGGAATGTACAGGGGAAGTTATTAACATTAATGGAATGTAAATAAGAAGAAAGAAAAGTGGATGAAAAATTTACCAACTGTAAGCAGGAATCGAACCTACGACCTTCGATTCCTACGACCTTCGAACCTACGACCTTCGTAGGTTCGATTCCTGCTTACAGTTGGTAATTTTTTCATCCACTTTTCTTTCTTCTTATTTACATTCCATTAATGTTAATAACTTCCCCTGTACATTCCTTGGCATTACTGTCTGTTATATCTCATTATTATTGTGTTAAAGACACGAAAAAACGAGCCCTTAGGTATACACTTCTTTCCCTTATTTTATATATATATATATATATATATATATATATATATATATATATATATATATATATATATATATATATATATATATATATATATATATATATATATATATATATATATATATATATAGATATATATATATATATAGAGAGAGAGAGAGAGAGAGAGAGAGAGAGAGAGAGAGTCAGGATGCGAGAAACATGTCGATACTGATCTCCATAGTGATTCAAATCAGGACGAAGATTGTGAAATACAGAGATGCTATTGCGCGGTTACATTTAAACACATGCTCACTGCCTCAGTAAAAAAAAAAATGTAGACACCCAACCCTGTTCATTTCAGGAGGATATATCCAGACGTCTATTAGGATGATACTTGCAAAGTGTGCGGCTGGACTCGCGCATCACTCATTGGCTCATTTTCTGGGAATGTGAAATTTTAGCAGCAGAAAATGCAGTCTCTCCATGTGAAGCTGCGGCGCAGTGGACGGCCACGTTGCGCATCTCCAACCTTCAGGATAAACTGTGGACCATCCAGCAAGCCCGTGAGGCGGTGAGGAGACAGGGTTGGGCTACGATAACAAGATAACAGGGCCTCCGAGACTCCTATCCTCCTCGCGGTCGGCCTAGGCGCATGCAGGCAGCGAGTTTGCCGAAGTTATTATTATTAACAAGTTGTTACCACCACCACCAATCTCGTCTTTGTATCTAACCCGAAAAAAAGGTGTTAGTGATTACAATGGGCCAGTAAACATTGCGAGTTGTGAAGCCGCGGGCCTAAAGTAAACACATGCGACATACAACGTGCGTGTGTCGAAAGAGTTCAGTGCAAGCCGAATGCAATTCATTTGTTAGGTCTCTCGCTTTCGGCTGCTTCTGTGTTTATACAAAATTTTAACAAAAGAAAATTGTTACACTGCCGCCCATTCGTGTTTTCAGCTGACCTATACTATGTATATGTAGCTGCCTCAAGAATAGTTAGGCCCACTGAAACACTTTGCGCACTGTCTGAGAAGGGAGCCTTCATGTGCGCACGTCTCTGTAACGCGCGCACATAAAGGCTCCCTATTTCCGCATCGGTTAACAACAAATGAGAACCACATCTTTCATGAGTTCGTTCGCTGTATGTCTAGCGAAGGGCGTCGGGAAATAGCCTGTGCATATAGACCTTTTAAAAAACGGCTACCCGGACTCCACCATCCCCAAAGATGTACTGCCGAGGTTATGACAGCAGCCTTTGTACCTCCGCGCGCTGCCTATCATGACGGTGTTTTTTTTTTTTTTCCTCATACGAAAAGGTGTATATATCTCGCTTACCGTCGAAGGCCAGGTCTTACGTTGAACCGAAGAAAATAATATTTAATGAAGAGAAAAGTGAAGAGGTCGGCCAGGAGGGCATACGTCTCTGCTATCTCTTCACCGGGGAGAGAGACATGGTAGGGCGAGACAAGCTTAGATGACAGGTGAATATGGTATAGTCATCGCCTTCCCAAAATATCGTGCTGTTACAGGTCAGGAACTGAACCTCAATGCTTTTCGTGCGTATGCAATCATTGTCCTAACACCTTCGCTGGTGATATATCTAACGTCAGTATTGGCGGATACGTTCTTTAACGTAAATTCAATGTGGCAGTCTTGAAATACCATGTGAAAGACGAGCTTTACATGATCATAAAAAATGCCATGTAATCGGGACTTATCATAGCGATTCAGGTAATACTTTGAAAGGCTTTATCGTCGTAGGGGTATCGAAACCAGTGCGCGATCGTAACCCCCATAATTTTCTTTTATGCCGTTGCTGTATATGTGTACTTACACACGATCACATATACAGATGGGCAGGCAGAATACTTCCCACCCCCTCACAGTAAAATCTTCATGAAGTCCTGGCTACACCCCTGGCGAAGCACCTGTGAAAGGACGCGCCTAGACTGTTTACGGCACGAGGCCAAGAAAAGCGCCTAAGCGACTGTGGTTTGGCAACCATGTATGATTTTCTACCCGCTCTTTTTTCCGCGTCCTCTCCTATACACACGCTGTTTTGTCTCGGTCCACTCTCGCTCACTCAATCAGCTGGCTGGCGTTGACCTGGCGGAAAGCTTCAATTCACGAAAACTAAAGAAACAGGTACTTGTTTGTGGTTCTTGCGAAACGAAAGCCGAGGCGGAGCCTACCTGGCCATTCTCGCGACCTTGACTGCGCCGAACGTGCGAGGGGCATACTGCTGGCGGCTTTATTTGTATCCGCGTCCGCTTCACCGACTGACAAAGGAGTGGACCATTCTGCACGTTATCACTCTTTGCTAGCGCAGCCAAAGGCCGATACAGGATTATTTAACGATGAGTAAAATCGGTAAGTACTTTTTGTCGATCTAGTATCCTTTATATCTACGATAGCTTGCGTTACAGTTTGTTTGTGGATGATATCTAGCCGATGTCCCTCGCTATCCTGATCCGCGCACTTGCGTTGTTTGTATTTACCCTTGTCGCATGCTTTTAAGGTGTCATTCAAAGTGATCATGCCTAGCTTGTCAAGTCTTTAGGTTGTGCGATTTCTCAGTCTAACCTTTCATTTCTCAAACTACGTCGCCCAAAGTGGCTCCAACAGCGCGCACGCGCGTTTGGCATATACAAGAAAATATTTACTTTCTTTTTTTCTTGAAATTAAGAAAAAAATCTTTAATGCTAGCATCACAATATTTTTGTATCGTTGATTCTTACTTGAGAGCTCATTGAATATGGTAACTACCTCAATGAGCAATTCTATTATGATGTGCGTGTAAGTGGTTAGGACATATTTTTTGGCGTTACGGTGATTACCGTGATTATATCACCTATGAGTTAATATATATCATAAGCGTCTCGCTGCTCATGTTTTTTTTTTTCTTTGTTATCATTGCATCCCTCGTTCATTTGTGTGGAATGTAACTTCAAGTCGTCTGTGTTGGCACGTAACTAGTGGCCTACGTTATCAGCTTAGATACCTAGTAGCCCACACAAATAGTGCCCCAAGATAGTGGTCGGCTTTTGTCCCTGGTGCTGAAGTTCAGCCTTGTTGGTATGACATAATGACAATTAAAAGCGCTTGAATTGAATACGGCGACAGAGTACAACGGAATGCTCGTGTTGTTTTATCCTCTTGTTTTTGCCCATTCAAGAGCTTCGATTTGTGGAATTTCCCGAAGATTACTAATTGTATATTTGAAACACTAGGCCAAGCACTAACAACACTAAAACTTGGATTTGAACTGAGAGCCACTGCATGGGGTGCAGCTTGGTACACAGGAAGCAATTGCAATTGGGAAATTCGATTATAATGCTGCTTGGTCATTGACTGAAATAGTTTCATGTAGCTGCCATATTACATTTATTTTCAAGGCACTACCAGCTGCACTTGCATAGATATAAGGCATGCTGCATCAGTGCTCCAAAACTGCTGTGATCAAAATTGCTGTGCCAATAGTGCCGGCAATAGGCAGCCGGCATATTATCCCGGAAAAAAAAGTTGCAGGCAGTTTCTCCCTATTGGCTGCTTATGTGACATATCTGCCGCCCATTTTTGGTGAGCCTGTCCAACGCTTCCTCTAGAAAGATGCCTGCGACCCGAGCCAAAAAGCTGGTTTCCGGCCCTCTCCGGTTCTCTCCTCTTCCGCTGCCCAAACAGTGTCGGCGTCGAGCGCTCGCTGCGACGGCCGCTATAAACTTTGCAGCCTCTGAGGATAAAACAATGTTTACTGCCGTCTCGAAGGCAACACAATAGTGCCCCAGTGTTGGCGTTGCTTCCAAATATAGCGAAAGTAGTAGTGTAGGCTGTGAGCGCTCCTCGCAGAGAAAGCACTGAACCACAAGGAACCTCCCGTCCCTATGAGAAAACTTGTGGTGTCGCAGGCATTTTTCTAGAGGAGCCGTTGGCCTGTCATACCGGCGATACATGTGCTGGCAGAATAGGCGATACATGTGCTACACCGACAATACATGTGCTGCACGTGTAGTGCCGGCAGCTAGCATAGTACACCAGAAACCAGCTACCTATTAGCGCCTTATGTATTTTTAACTTTTAAGCCACCATTTAGCTATTTTTGCTCTCAGACATTTAGCAACACTGATCACCATTGTCAAAGACCTGGGCTTCCCATCTGTTGGCTAAGCCAAGTCGATGGAGTCGACCCAGTTTCTAAGCTTTTTCGACGTAGCCGCTGGCAGTGGCGTGAAAAACGTCGAATGTGTTTTGTTTTTGGCGTGAATGACGTGAACCTACCCTAACCTAAATTCATTACTTGCAACCCTCTTATAGGAAAGAACAGCCGGCGTTCAGTCAACTGATATATTCTGCAGGCAGTCAGCAGTGTAGACACAACCAATCAGAATATTGTGTTGCTTGTGTAAAAGAAACACTTTACTGCATTCCACAGAACCTAGATGGAAACGACACTCCAAGTTCTTGGCTGCACTTAATGAGGGCAATGTACCCATGGCTTGGACGTTGCTCTGTGGGTGTGAAGAACCTCTGGTTGATCCAGATGTTAGGATCATGACAGGAGGAGAATACAAGCCTGCAATATGCATCGCTGTTGAGAAGGACCTATTAGATATGGGTAAGTTTACGAACTCCTCAGGAAAACGGGCTGCAGTAGATTTGTAGTGGCAAATTGAGTGGTTTGTGGCACTCCACAAGTTCTTGCTAGCGCAGCGTACTCTCATGTTATGTAGCAGCTACCTTATTACTTCCTACTTTGCTTTATAGAGTCACTAATAACAAGGAGAAAGGGTAGGTAGGGAATCTCTTTAGGAATCAAAGTTGCACTCTGCATGGAGTGAACACACGGATATTGGTAGCATGAGAGAAGTATTGTATTACTGGGGCAAGCAACATGTTACATTTCAGTGCCCTTGACACTCCAGGTGTACACAAAAACTATGGGGCTTGGAGCGACTACAGCCAAAAAAGAGTTCGCGTGTTATATAGTGACTGATTTATGGCATTAGGTGACAGCCCGAGTGTCTCCAACAGAGGAGATTATTATAACATTCGTTTTGTTTTTATTATACCAAGAATAGACATAAAATTCATACTGAAGGCAATCCATGTGAAACTGTTTAAAATGGTAATGATAAACATTTTGGTGTGGCTGCAATATGTTACTGGTGGCCTCTTTGTCATACCGTGGCACATTGCTTACTGCAGCATGCAATAGATAATTAATTAGTCTGTTTATTGTCTACCAGTCTCGGTTCTGGTTTTAGAGATGTCCGAAGACGACAAGCCACTTTTTGCAATGAATGCCATCTAGCATGTGAAATGGCACTCAAAAGTATGATGCACTTTCGTGGTGTGGGCATTGCCTGCTCATATTCTTTCACCTGCAGCATGTGCTGTGTGATTTCGTTTCACCATTCCGTCATCTGGTGGCAATGACTTTCTTTAGCCTTTCACAAGCCCACCACATGCACGCACTTGTGGGCAGGCACTAAATTGTAGCCTGCTGGCGCAAATGTGGCAAAACGGCAATGCGACCATAATACCATCATTTAGATGCGCCACCTTGGAGCTCGGCTGTAGTGGTGATGTTGCAGAAGTCAAGCCAAAGCTTACCGTTAGGTCACTTTAAATGACGTCACTGTGGTGAGGTGCAGCATATAATGCTGGATCACGCATGGGAACTTCAAAATTCATATTGTTTGCCTTCCAAGCTATATTTGCTGTGGAGATTTGGTAGATGATATATTCATGTTCGCAGGAATCGATCCCACAGACTGTCCCAGCCGTGAAATTGGCATCAAAACCCCTTGAAGGCTTTTTTCTTAGCTAAATTTATTAGCTAAAAAAGAACCTGTAGAAGCAGAATCTTCTGTGTATTTATTCTTTGTGCTAATCGCTCGCCATTGGTGCTATAGAAGTGTGCAGATACCGCTCAGAAATGGTCTTAGTTTCTGGACAGCTGGACAGCTACATTTTTTCATGAATTCATTTCACTTCCAAAATTAGTGTTACATTCCCTACTTTTATATTTGGCGTGGCATTGCATATCATAGGAAAACAGGCTGCATTCCAGGAAAACCATAGGAAGCTTTGCTTTATCAGGACGGTCTACCACTGAGCGGGCTACATTAGCTTGACCTCACTTAGAGCAGTAATATGTAGTAATTCACACGCTTATATAAGGCCCCTCTAATACATTTACAAGTAAATGTCTGATGGCTTCATTGAGACAGTTTATTGCCCCACGGTCGACTGCCGCAAATATTATTAAAATTTGTGAAGTATGAACAGTTACAGGCATTTACCGCACGCTTCTAGCACAAGGGGGCAAGAAGATTCATCCCTTCGTCAGCATGCATCATGATTTTGAGCATTTCCTGTTCGTTATTCTTCTAACATACGCCTTGCTTTCAGTGTGATAGTGCGGAAGCCATCACATGATGGCATCTCACAACAACCACAGTAATTACGCAGCTCGCATCGCTAAAACCAGCCAGTGGCTCTGGACTTAGGTATATGATGCAGTGATTTGGGTATAAGCTATAATTTGTAAGTGATACTTCAAGCTCACTTTGAGAATTAGTTGTAAATCCTATGCTACGTGCTCCATTGTAATGTTCGACTCGCTTGTTCTGAGGAACTTTGGCTACCAATATGCAGTGTTTTCTGGCAATGCTGGAACAAGTGGAAAACGGTGACATTCCTTTTATTATCATTATTATGTCTTCAATGGGGTTGCTTTTTTCTTCATACATTGAAAAACTATATTATTGCATTCTACCTTGCTGCTTGACATCATCTGTTGGTGGCAAATTCAAGACTGGCACTTTTACATGGCATTTCAGCTTGTCTGTGTCCCTTGTTGACACAGTATACCAGGCCTAATAGTGCTTTTGACTTCCATCAATATCTTAGCACAATGTATCTAATTTACAGACAGGCCATAATAGAGAAATTCATTTTATCCACTTTTGAAGTTGCCTGCCAATATACTTTTATCTGCTGTCATCATATGCCAACTGTAATGTTCATGATGAAATTAGCCTACAGCACTACTTTTTAATACTTAGTTGCTTTCTTAGTTTGTTATTAAAGAAGTATCAAAGTGAATAGCTTCATTAAAATTAGGGCTGTGCAAATATTTGAGTTTCAAGTCTGAACTGAATATACCTTATCAAATAATTCGATTCAGCTTTTGTATAGCTAATAATCGAAGTTTTGAATATTTTGACCGCAAGAACGTGTAAAACACAACAACGGTGTACCTTAGTTGGAGTCAGGCAGCTACTTCTAACGCTAATGCTTTCACAGTAAGCCATTAAACATAGATAAGTGCAATCAAATGACCTTCACTCAAAAGTGATCACTCTCTACATTTCAGTATTTCTTGTGCATTTCAGTATTTCTTGGGCACATTTATTTCTATTGTCAGCGGCTCATGCCATTTCCGCCTGAATTCGTTTCAGCCGAGCTTCTCATCATGTGCGGCTGCAGTGTGAACCAAAGTTCACCCACTGGCTTGTCCCCTCTGCACATAGCAGTTATGCGCAACAATGCCGACATGGTGCGTCTTTTGCTCAAGAGTGGTGCCAGCGTTTCTTGCAGAGACAGCAATGGAAGGACGCCACTGCATCAGCTGGCTGTCTGCAATTACGGTGAAAACAGTCTGGGTGTGTGCTTTGCTAATACTTTAACAGTCAGGGTGTGTGCTTTGCTAATACCTTAACCTATCCTCGTCAGGCACTGTGCATGCACATGTGGATGGCAAAATAGCACACCGAAATTGAAGCTCCTTACGAAAATGAATATATTGAGAGTTTACGACAGAAGCAAAATTGAACAAAGAGCTTGTTTTGTGGGTCGTAAGTCAGCTTGCTACCCATGTCTTATTCTTTGTATCACCATATTCTTTATATCATCTCCTTATTTTCTTTATAGTACCATAATTATATCTAGGTATTATGTTGCATTTCTCGTATAGATATTAGGGTTCTTTCTGCATTATGTTTAAGGTGGCACATACCCGCTCTAGAGCGGGTATGTGCCACAGGGGATGCGAGATGGGAGATGGCAATACTTGGAGTGTTCACTAGAGGGACGCATGGACGGACAGACAGACTAGTAGACGGACGGATGGATAGACGCACGGATGGCTGCGCGGATGGACGGAAGCAAGAACGAACGGATGAACGGAAGCACGGACAGGCTGATGGACGCTTTGCCCCACTCATCATCATTGACTCCGTGGATATGCTGCGATTTTTAAATGGATGTGAGTGAGCACACACGTCATTTAGCTGGAGTGTGCGTGGGTGCAACAATGGGAAGCAACTAGAAATGCCACTGAACGTAGGTGAATGCAAATAAGCATGGGACTAAACGCTGAAAAGTGCAAGAACTTAAGCAAATGAGTAGTACTATTCAGATTACAGAAATGTTGGTGAATAATTTCAAAGCATTTGCTTGTTCCACCAACTGTGATTCTTACTGAGTGTTTTCCAGACAAATGAATTTTCTGGGGTCACGAGCTCTGTGTGAACGAGGCATCAGCAGCACATGCCAAGTGCACACGTCTCATTTTGTTTTCAATACTTCACTTGGGACTGTTGGGGAAGAAGAACCAGGAAAAAGTGAAAAAAACACTTCACTATGAGCAGTGCTTATAGATTGAAACATGGCATCAAATATTTTAATATAACGGATGGTGTGCACTGTTGCTCATGATAAGCAGGTCGTGTCACTACAAATTGTGTCACTAAAGGTAATGTTTGCTCTGATGTAAGCATTGAAACCGAAAATACGCTGATACAACAGACTGTAGAAGGTGGATACGAAAATATGTGCATTGCTTAGCCATGAATCGTTACGTTTCTATCTGCGAGTACTTCACACACTGTATTTGCATGAACTGCACTGTTTTATTGTTTTTTACTAAATGTTACTCTCATATTTGTGTGTGTGTTGCAATAGGGTTCTACAGCAAAATTGCCATCAAGTTATTGTGCAACTTTTTTTTTTTTCAATGTTCATAGTATAAAATCACCTGCACAATGCAATCAAAGTAACGCTAGAATCAAGCAAATACGACATGTCTGCTATGTAGGTGGGACTCGTGCATGCATTAGCAGTTAGTAGCGATTACCTTAACCTCATGTCACAGATTACTAAGTTTAAATGCGGTTCGCTCAACTTATTTTCAGAAATCGCAAGGCTGCTCGTACAGAAAGACGGCAAGACAGAGTACAGGGATAGAAACGGAGCGACGCCCTTGGCACTTGCCTGCAAAGGCCACCGCGCCTTGGCCCTGTGCCTGCTGTCACTTGGGGCCAATGCCAGTGCTGGTGACAATGAGGGGAACACACCGCTGCACCATACATGTGCCAAAGTGCCAAATGATGAAGAGTTGGTGAAGCACTTGCTTGCTGCTGGAGCTCAAGTGAGTGTTCCATTTACCATAAAAGCCCGCATATAGCTCGGACCTGCATATACAGTCAAATCCCGCTACAACGAACGCCGCTTCAACGAAATTCCCGCTACAACGAAAAATTCACGGTTCCCCGTCAGCAGTTCATAGGAGTCAATGCATAAATACTGTCACCACAACAAACATTTTTTCTTCTGCCATCCCGCTTCAACGAAATATCCCGATGCAATTCCAGCCTCAGATATTTATTTCTATACAGTAAACCCAATCTTTAACATTTTGATGAATTTTCAGAACCTGAAAATATGTCGACAAAGTCTAAAACACGCGTTGGCACCACCAAGAACCACCGCTGTTCAGCAAGCAAGGGCGCCGCCATTGCTTGATGGTGATGGCAATGGCAGAGCCCATGCTTGCTGAACAGCGGTGATTTCTGGTGGTGCCAACGCGTGTTTTAGATTTCGTCGACGTATTTTTGTGTTGTGAAAATTCATCAAATTGCTAAACATTGGGTTTACTGTATAGCCGCAGACGATCCGAAGCTGAAGCTCAGTTGCCTAGTTCATGGCACGGAGGAAGGAAAGGTAAGGAGAGGGCATGCCAGCCGGCGCGGGGCGTGAAAAGTGTGGTGGAAATGACATCATGGTGGCCATATTCACTAGGCACAATGGCGGCGTTGCTATGGTTACGTGTTGCGCAGTGGAGCTGGTCTCGCAGTGAGCGGCCGCGGCTGGCGGTGGAATGTGTGCCTCCCCAGGTCTCGTGCTGAGCCGTGGCGGACAATATCTGTGCTCTGTGCCGCGTTATTGGTTACGCAGTGTTCTCCTGGCTGTTACATTACTCTTAGCAACGTTTACAAATCCTTGTCCATCACGGGGTGCGTAGAACAAGTGCATATCCATGTGTCGTGCGGCGGATGACGCGGATGAAGCAGTTAGTGTTCAGCGAAATTGCGTTCGGCACCATGACGAAGCTGAATGACGACGAACGCCTTGCAGGTCAGTGACGGTTGAGCAGTGCTCCTGCTTGTGACAACGGACGACGCTGTTGAGCCCAGCAAGACGCCATGAGGACCATGTGCACATACGTAGTTTCGTGTTGTGTGTACAGTAACAACTTGCATGTGCGTATTAAAACACCTTTTCTGTTCCGCTTGGTACACTCTCCACCAGCATTGCATGTAGTCTCAACGTAACAGCAACCGCGTTCAACTGTCACTAGCACCGTGCTCAAAGTCACCACGGTCGCAGAATGCTGACGCCGGTGAGTTCACGCGGAACACGGACACAGTTGCAGGACGCTGCGTCGGCCGCGTGGCGGAAATGCAACCGTAGAAGGCGCACGACCGATCGTGTTGTCTGTACAGTTGCTGAATTAATGACGTGAAAGCACTCGCCGTTGTCAGTGCATCTAGCGCGCGTTCTCTTGCAGTTGCTTCGTTGTCGGCGAGCTGTTACTCCCTGTTATTACTCGGACGAAGCGATTTCGCTGAGGTGTCCCGCAGGCTCAGAGTAATGAAGCCCCGTTCCATTAGTTTCGGATCGTCACGACACACGCGCTGCGTAGCCCACGTGCTTTCCGAGCCAGAGAGAGAGTCGTGCCTTCTGCTTTACATTCGAATGTAAGCAAGCGAGGAGAATTTGCCTATTCAATATGGCCGACTTCCGGCTTCATCCTGGCTTCACAACGAGTGACGTCAGGGCCTCTCCTTACCTTTCCTTCCTCCGTGGCTCATGGTTTCCTTCGTGCAGCTGCTGGGTGCATCCTGCGGAACGATGCCTTTGCAGATTCCAATGCTTATCATTTTGTTCATACTTGACCAGTGTGGTTGTTTGTCCGCATTATCAACAAAATCAGCTAGCCGCCAGTGATGAATGATAAGAATGTCATAAAATAAGGCAAAAGTCACCGTTCCACGATACCCTGCTGCCATCTCTGCGTTTCGACGGCGGACAGCTGCTGGTGTTAACGTGTTATTGCAACTGTTTGGTTTGTTCACGAAGACGGTTTTAGGCGTTGTTTCAGCATGCTCTTCACCATGGCATCGCTATGCATGGGTCACGTCGCGATGTTGCTGCGAAAGAATGGGAAAGAGCGGACATTTTTTTAATTTTGAGAATAAACGTTTTTTTGTTTTGCTAGTTCAGGTCGGCTATATTTCTTCGATTTCACTACAACGAAATTTTTTCTGCGCCCATTGAGGTTCGTTGTGGCGGGGTTCGACTTTAGTCCATAGTGTGAGTTTAGAGATTGCAATCGCGAGAAAATAGTTTTCACGCGAATATAACCCGAGCAAAACAAAAAATAGATTGATTGATACACTTCATTCATCGTTGTGTCAAACGCACAGTCTCTTCCGAAGCTCCCTTGTTGGAAACCTTCTCCCACAGCACATAATCCCCAGTGCCATCAAGCACGTTCAAGATGGAGCACTTTTTGAAAGCGTGGCAAACGAGCGTCTCGAGAATGTAGGCCCAAGCCTCGACTATCCACGAGCACAGCATCACTGGCGAGGCCCATTTCAGCCATCCGGCAGGGGTCACTTCTGGTTATCTGAACCTCATCCACTCCATGTACAGGCACTTGACATGGTCCTTAAATGGCTTATTAAGAAACACATTAAGCAGCTGCAGCTGTGATGTAATACCTTCCGGGATGACGACGAGCTAGGTGCAGGAGTCGCGCAGAAGTCGCTTTACGCAGTCGGTCAGGTGACACCAAAACCCGTCGAGCACAAGCATCGAAGGGGGTCTCAGCAGCGCTCTGGGCTGTCGACACCACACGGGCTTTACCCAGTCAAGCACTAGCGATTCGTTCATCCACCCCTTGTCCTGGCAGCGGACAAGGGGTCATCCACCCCTTGTCCTTTCGGCAGGGTTTTTCATTTGAACACAACGTAAGCCGTAAGCTGGTAGCTTGCTTCATCTGCATCAAAGAACAACAGTACAGTCACCTGTGTTTTTTTTTTTTTTTTTCGCCAATCGATCGCACGATAACTTGCCTCGAGCCTTTCTGATACACCGTCAGTACCGAGGGCATATCCAGGTAAACTGGCGTTTAATCTCCGTTGCCAATCTGGCCCAACTGAAAGGGGCAGCCTTTCGCAACGCAATTACATACTTTTGAAACTTCACAAGGTCCTCTCCGTAGCTCTTTGGTAGCTTCTGTGAGATCGACGTACGCCGGCGTAGGAAAAACCCAGCGCTGCACATAAAGAGAAACACCCAATGCTTGCTCGCTCCGAAATGCTCCGGCTGAATGCCTTTGTTTCGGGTGATCTCCCTTGCCTTCGCTTGTAGCAGCTCGATGTTAACAGCGAGATGCGCAGCTCGCTGCTCCCGCACAAAGTCCGCGAGTTCTCATTCCACCTCAAGAAACCCTCCATTTTGTGGTCTGCGCAAACTTTTTCGCTGGTGGCTGCAAGCAAAGAAAACGTCTTTATGCTTCCGCCAACCGCGGATATTTCGTTCGTTGACTCCGAACTGCAGCCCTGTGGCATAGTTGCCAATGGTTTTGGAAGCAGCGATAACTTGTTTAAAAGCAGCTGAGTACTGCCTGTGGGGTGCTGACATGGTGTGAAATTGCAGGAAAAAAATCGTGGCCATTGTTATGGGCTCCAAGTTGAAGCAAAGGCCACTGACCACTGTTACACACGTAGGTCTGCAAGACTAACGCCTGCTACCGCTGTTAGTGCTACTTAGCATCTAGCGCAGAAGTGTGCAAACACCTGATGATGATGATTATGATGTAGATGATGGTACCGCACTATGCCAAAACCAAAACTGAACTTTTGCCAAGAATTCTTGAGACCTGCATATAGTATGGTGCCAAAATTTGGTACTCTAAAGTCTATAAAAAAAAAAAACCTGTGCTATATGCGGGATATTATGGCGCATTTTTCTAGAGTAAACAACATTCAGCAGGGCATATAACTGATGAAGCTTGCAGCTAAAATTCAGTCATAATACCTGAACTTTTTCTTTGAAAGAGTATAGCCCTGCTGCGTCTTGTTGAAAAAAAAAAAAAAGCTGATATTGGTGTCCAAAATGCGGTTGAGATCTGAGAAATTACAATTGAGACGGCAGAAACTTACTTTTTACAGGGGAAGAAGGCGACTTGCAGTTGCAGAAAGCTTCATTCGCCGTAGACGCTCGCCATTACATTCATGCAGTGGGTCTGTTAGCACCATTTTATGAGTCATTGGCTAACGTCTTTGGAGTAACTGCAGGAGAGATAGACCTGCCTGTCGCATTCCTCCAATTAGCCCAAACCTCCAGACTTCCTCACTGCTAGATTTTTGCAAAAACTACATAATTTGCAATGAGCATGTGCCAAAGACCTCATTGAACATGCTTGCAACCTCTGTAATTTTGAGTGGTCATAAGAGATTACTTGTGTGTAGTACTATGTAGTTGAAATAGTAGTTAGGCAGATTTGGGTGCACGTTAAAGAACTTCAGGTGGTCAAAATTTACGGAGCCTTCCACTACGGTGTCTCTCATAATCATATGGTGGTTTTGGGACGTTAAACCCCGCATACCAAGTATAGTAAAACCTTGTTAATTCGAAGTCACTGGGGCCAGCGAAAAAGCTTCGAATTAACAGAACATACAAAAAGTGGGATGCAAAGAACTTAGAACTATTCAAAGTAATCGGTGCTCGTCGTTGCTGTGCCGGCTAGCTTGCGGCTCCAAGGTTATGTTTTCCAGCAATACCTGGTCTTCATTTTGCCAGCAAACATAGACGAACGGTGGGCCTTGCTGCTGCCACCGAAAAAGAAAAAAAGAAAACACGGTCGTGATCGACTGAAATGTGCGCCTGCAGAAAACAAGACATCTTCACTCCAACACAGTAGGTGACACGCAAGCAGCATGTCGCCTGCTCCTCGCTGCGTCAGCACGTCATGATGCGACCATCTTTATATTTTAATTAGTGAATTTTATAATGGCCAGTATGATGAAGCTCACAATATGCTTTGGCGTGAAAAAATGATCATTGAAACTCTCTAACTTA